GGGGGGAGGGGGGTTGAATGGTTAGCAGCAGATGCTATGTGATTGAGTAACGTTGCTGCAGCAGTTTTTTTTCTTTTTTTTTCTTTTTTTTTCTTTTTTCTGTTGTTGTTGTTGTTGGAAGAATGAGAGGGATGCAATGTTTGAGTGGTTCAGGCCCTTTCAGGGTAAAACTCGCGGAACCACTAGCAGCAGTGCCGCCTTGAGCAGTGAGACTGTGAGAGTGAGAGTGTGACAAGGGGCAGTGGGAATGCTGCTGGCCGAGTGGAAAGAGAGAACCGTTGAAGAGCAGACTTGAGGTGTATCCATTGGGTGCGTGGTGGGTGGGAAACCCATCTCGGCAGCTCAGGCTATAAATACAGTGTTTTGGACAGTAAGGATGAGAAGGTTGCCCTTGGGCTGATGACAGAGTTGAGGGAATGGTTATGGGTGAGGAATTCAGTGGAATCTATATGTTTTCAGTTGTTCGGACTCGGAGAAAGTGGTTCAGGCGTTCAGGGTGAAATTCACGAGTCTTTTCGTTACGGATGACCCTCAAAACCATAATCTGTTAATATACGACGTAAATCAGGATGCCATTGGTTGGAGAAATACATACCAAACATATCCCATACTTCTGGTTCCCACCAACCAGCTGCCGGAAATATTTTGACTACTGAACAGATGGGAGTTATTTCATCTACACGTCGTGTATGTACACGAAGACGTGAGTTATACTGAATACTCAGTGGAACTGCTACCATCTTGACCCGAATAGAACGCCCGGTCATTATCACTGTATCTAGACTGAAAGTTGCTCAAATACAGCTATAATGACCAGGCGTAGACGGTAGTAGCGGTGCCATATTGAACAGTGGGACTTTGACAAGGGGCAGTGGGAATGCTACTCGTCGGGCAGAGAGAGAGAGAAACGGTGAAGAGCAGATTTGAGATGTACCCAATGGGTGCACGGTGGGAAACCCATCTTGGCAGCTCACTGGCAGGCTCTTCACAGTACTTTGGGTACTAGTGAGACATGAGCCTCAGGAGATCACTCTGCTCCTAGGGCTTTTAATAGTAGATTTGGTCGGTCATGTGCAGCGTATTCTGTCTCGGAGTTCATTTCATTCTGTTAGTTAAACCACCAGTACCTCGCTCAGCTATAGGCCGCGGGCCTTCCCGTATACGCGCCGCAGCCTTAGGGGGGTCGGCGAAGGGAAGGCCCGGTCGTAGCCAGAAAGCTGGGCCCCGCTTCTGTAGGGACGACACAGTAGAGGGGAAAACAAAAAAAAAAAAAGAAGGAAAAAAAAAAAGAAATACACAAACGAAAAAAAAAGAAGAAATACACAGAAGGAAAGTGGGCGGGAGGGAGGGAGGGGGGGGGAGAGAGAGAGAGAGAGAGAGAGAGAGAGAGTGTCTCGATTTGCAAAACGAGACGGGAACGCGGGAAGATGCATTCCCGTTTCGTTTCTCGAAACGAGAGAGAGAGAGAGAGAGAGAGAGAGAGAGAGAGAGAGAGAGGTGGCGAGTTGCGCGCGACCCTCCGTGCATGT